CACTATTGCACACACAGACACATATACACACACATACACACACACACACACTCACACTTTTACTGACACACATACGCACACACACACACACCTATTTGCACAGAAACACACTCTTACACGCACACATACATACATACACACACACATACACACACATATACACGTTTGCACACACACAAACATGCACACAAACACACACTCGACACTGACATACACACACCCTCTCTATCACATACACAGTTACACACACACACCTGCACAAATACACATACACACACACACAATCTCTCTTTCACGCATATACATACACACTCTATCGCACACAAACAGACACATGCACACATTTACACACTCACACACACACAAACAGAGGAAATGTTATATGCAAATGCTTGATTTTCCTGCAGCCACGTGTATTTAAATGTGTGTATTTTTGTGCATGTGTGTGTCTGTGTGTATCTGTCTGCCTGTCTCTCTCTGTGTGTGTGTGTGTGTGTGTGTGTCTCTCTCTCTCTCTCTCTCTCTCTGTGTGTGTGTGTGTGTGTGTGTCTCTCTCTCTCTCTATGTGTGTGTGTGTGTGTGTGTGTGTGTGTCTCTCTCTCTCTCTATATGTGTGTGTGTGTGTGTGTGTGTGTGTGTGTGTGTCAGCTGGTGGCGAACGCAGTGTTGTTCGTGTGCATCAACGCTACAGGAGTGTTTCACCTCTGGCACACTGAGCAGGCCCGCAGGAAGACCAGGAAGAAACGCGAGGACTTCAGCAGAAACCGCTCGACGCAAGCCAAGCAGAAGCGCGATCAGGTGCACGCACACACACACACACACACACCCTAGTTAACTAAAGATAAAGCAGGATCGTCCCTTCGCTATATTTCTTAGCTAGAGTTTAGTTAAAGGATCGTCTTTTTTAATGTTGTGCTCAAGAACTAAGTCAGATTCATACTTCACCACACAGGGTAACTAGAAGTCAGTGTCCACTCCAGTGAAGAGAATTAATAAAATACACTTAAACAAAATATAAATAACAGAAACAAAGTACTTACTTTATCCTCCGTTGAGAATAAATGGCAACGGACCTCCAGTATAGAGAAGTCAGAAAGAGGAAAGCTGGTTGGTATGCTTCAGCCTTTATACCCTTTGGCTAGGTTTCAAGAGTTGACACTCAGCTGATGATGGATGACAAAGCATGCTGTCCCGGGAGACAGCCCTGAGCTCATAAGATCCCCGAGCTCAGGGCTCCCCCCCGTTTGCAAGGCGAGAGGGGAGTTTGAGCTCAGGTAGATGTGGAGAACTCCCCTGCTGTAGTAGCTGATGAACAGATAGTGATCACTCTGAAGAGATAACTACTGACTAGGAGCATGTCTATGGTCCTGATTTGGATTAGTCAGTTAACTTAAGTTGCATGTTTTTGGAGGAAACTGGGGAACCCGAGGGAAACCCACATGAGTACGGGGAGAGCAGGTGACAGAAACGTCTGTTGGTTTTGTTAATGACCAGAACCAAAGACGTTCTTGCTGTGAGGCAACAGTGCTAACCACTGGGCCACCGTGGCGCCCATCTAGGAAAGGAGGAGGAGTAGGGCTGGAAGGAGGGATTCTTTAAAACCAAGATGTGATATGATATGGATCTCAGTGATCTCAGTGTGATATGGAACTCAGGGTATTTATAGTGGCTTAGGAATCATCTGATTGGTGAATAATCAATTGGATAATGCTGGGTCGGCTGCAAGCAATCATAAGCACATGATCATCTAGACATTAGTTATAAATAACCTTAGAACTACTTGGACCATGGTCATACATATAGAGTCACCTCATACATCATGACTAGAACCAGATGAAATCTGCGGACATTATTTTGCTATTTCTGCGCAGTTTTGGTAAAAATCTGTGCATTAATGTGGAAATATTTTAAGAGCTTCTTAACTAAAACCTTAATTCAAGAGTTCACACTTAGCTGATGATTGATAATAAAGCTAGTTTGGCGTGCTGTCCCGGGAGAGAGCCCTGAGCTTATAAGATCCTCCAGCCCTGGGCTCCCTCCCGTTGCAAGGTGAGAGGGGAGTTTGAGCTCAGGTAGATCTCGATGACTCCTCCTCCTGCTTATTGTCGCTAAGTGTCAGATATGGATGCTGAAAGGTGTACTCAGAGTTTAGCTAATGTATTTGGATTAATTGTTTAGAGTGCTTGTTTTTGAACTATGAGAGGAAACCGGAGGACCCGGGGAAAACCCACGCGACCACGGGAGAACAAGCAAACT